TTAAAATTAATCTTTAGTTTTTCATCACCGTGCGTCCCGATTTTTAGGCCCGCCCCAATTTTTTTTTTTTTTTTATAATTTATATTTTCATTTATATTGAAATTTTATATTTATATTGAAATTTGTAATCCAAACTATACTGCTGCAAGTCAAGGAAATTCTAAGTCACACACACTCTGTAGTCTATATTTTTTTTTATCATACTGCTGAAATGATTTGATATTGATTTTGAAGCCTCTTGTGGAATGAGAAATTATATTTTTGTTAGTTTGTTGTTTCAATTTCTGTTTTTATTGTTTATAATAAATACAAGTACTTCGAATTGCACAAAATATTGGACTTCAGCCTCCCTCATTTCACATAGATGGAAAAAATTAAAATATAAAATATAAAATGTCCTCCCCGCCAATTTTTTCAGCACCTAGTGATGAAAAACTTAAGATTACTTTTAAATGGCCTTAACAATATTAGTTATTGGGCAAAGATTTATACATTTAAAAATGGTATTGAAATACATAAACATATATGTGTATATATTTAAGATACAAACATAAACACGTGGACGTTTGCCTCCATGAGAGTAATATTATTAAAAAAAAAAAAAACTTACCTGCTCACTGAACAGAAAGCCTCTACCATAATCTAGAGCACTTTTCCAGTAGGACAACTGCGGAACTCTAGGCAGTTCTTCCTGGCAGAGAAAGAGTCCGAAGACGGCGACCATTAGAAGGATCAGAAATCTTTTGAAGAACGACCATTTCCCACCTGTCTGAGATGAGAGAGAGAAAAAAAAAACAACAACTGATGGTTGATGGTGAACGACAGATAGTATAAAAAGCAGAGGGAAGGCCAGAGAAATTAATTTATTTATTGAAAATTTTCTGCCGCGTCAACACCTAAGGCGTATTCAAAATACAGTGATAGGGTAGATCCCTAGTATAGCATTATGATAAAATATTGTGGCAAAAAGAGTAAAAATGAGTTAACAATTTGTACAAAATGTGTTGGATGTCAACAGTCGTAAAGCACTGTAGGAAAGTACTGTAGTAAAAAGGGTACGGCGGGGATTTGTCAAAAGAGAAGGGATAAAGCGCATAAGGAGATTAGATCAAATGGACAGTATCTGTGTGTCTGAGGAAGAACGAATAACACTGCATGAAGGAAACTGCAAAAGACCCATTATGAAACAATCAGCGGGTAATATGGGCAGAAATGGTAGCTGGGAAAGTAGAAGAAGAATACAGGGAATGAGATAAGGAGACAGGGGAAGGTGAAGTGTCAGGAGAGGGAGGGATCCGGAGGACACTATTGCTACATACGAGTCACGTGAGCATCTAGGGGCCGGATTTACTAACGCATATACGAGATCGTGTGGGGTTTGTTTACATCGTAAATCAAGCTACTCTCTCGTTTCTCGCAACGAGCGTATTTTCAAAACATTTCCGATGTCGTAAAATCGTCGGCGCACGAGAGACATTAGCGGGTGCCCGAAACAACTCGTAACGGTCACCGTGGCGACCCTCCCCCGCTCTTATCAACCTCATAAGTACTTTCAAGAGTGTGCAACTGTGACTCTTCTTTGGTGAAATAAATTAATGTATAAGAGCAAAGCATTTAAGCGGCATGGTAACAGAAAAATATAATATTGTTAATGTAAATAACGATAGCCTTTGCTGGGGAGATACTGAGACACTTTGAAAAGATAGGAATGGATTGGATTGAAGGAGTGTTGGAATAGGTAGAAAGAGAAGTATATCTGCGTGCTTCCTGCCTAGAGTAAGGCCTAGTTAGAATTTGAGAACCGCTACCTTTTTTCGAGCTTGTAAGTAGGGCAAACTCCTATAAAATTAATCAAAGGAGCCACCACAATTGGCACACGTACGTGACTGAGCAGAGCAATGTGAACGATCATGACCAGGTTGGGCACATAGAGGGCAGGGGGCTGTGGAGGTCGATATGGTCGGACAGGCCAGGACTTTCCACAGATATAATCTTCATGGGGAAGGTCATCTCTACGTAAGCTAATCTTGGCAATATTTTTTTAAGCAACTCGGTTTCCCACAGATTTTCGGCATTAAAGCAATACTATTGTAGCACTGTATGACCATTTTTCGACAATAAAAGCATAGATGACCTGTATGCAAATAATGTGTTAAAGAAGTTTGATATATCTTTTTGAATTATGTTAACAGACCGTATGCTGGTTTCAAGCGAGGGTAATAATAGTTCTCATTTTAACTGAAAAAAAAAAACATTCCAATAAGCAATGCTGTCCAAATATCAATACTTCTCGGATTTTTTTTAGTAATAATACAGTTCTGAAAAGACAACTGAAAGTATAAACTAAACAAATTTCAATTCCAATTAATATTTTAATTAAAATTCTTTAATAATCAACAAATATTATAAAACTAATTAAGAACTCTCATCAACTAGCAACGAAAACCCAGTAAAAAAAAAAACAGGAAATGAAAGAATAGATAGCAAATGATAATGCAAA